ATGACGATACGACGTTTGCGACGGATTTTTATGTGAAATCGCGTTTCTTTTGCAAAAGTTATGAGCGGTAATGTATAGGTTGCGTTACGACATGTACATTATGATGAGTATTTTCCTTCCACCATATAAGTTACCACTTAAGGTCATTGTGAGTAGCAAATTTAGGTCTACTAAAGATGTTTCATTCAGTCAACCTGGTCTTGCATTACCAGCGACCCCTAGCTTACGGAAATTGTAGCACGGCTTAGTGTGACAAAAGACGGTTGCGCTTTTCGAACGAACCGTTACTATTGAGATGCAAAAACCAGCTATTAAAAAATAAGGTAGAGCTTATTCTCCTAAGGCATTGATTTGACAAAGTAATTTGAAAAGCAGCCTCGAACATTCATCGTGTTAGTGGTAATGGTGGTTGAGAAGTGCAAATTGGTCGTTTGATTGAGTTGCCAAAATAGAGTGCAAGGCTTGCTCGGAAGGTGGAATGAAAAAAGCGCTTCCCGTTCAAGAATTCCATGCTGGTAATTCAGCATTGACACCCTCCAGACAGAGGAGACATATAGTGGTGTTAGTGCAACAATCGTCTTTTTCAGGTATCTTGAATAGCCTGTTTTTAATTCTTTGGACTTTGAAGGCATGTGGAATAAACTGTGAAAACCATAAGAACGAGTTCTTGACAGCCTCTTAAAAGATGGAAAGAAGTTAGCGAGAGCGCCGAGCCCACGGATGATGCTTCCAGCGCTCGCCGCTATAAGGTCAAAGTCTACAGAAATTCCGGAGCGAAAATGCTTTGCATTTTCGAGAACAAGGAGAGAGTGCTGGTGCTTAGTGCTGCGAAAGAATCATTTGATAATTGGTTGAGGTAGCCCTTGGCTAATTTAGAGAGAGAATTATTCATAATTATGAGGAAATGTAGATTTCCAGAAACAAGTCATGAAAAAGAAATATACTCTAAACCACAACTATTGATCTCGTGATGAGTAAGACGAAATAGCATGATTTTAATGTTATAGAGTTCTTGTAACACACTACAACATTAAAAACAGATTCAGCCCTGCAACTCTTTCACACTTCTCTTTTGTGTAGCCAGGTTGGTAATGACTCATTGCTCACTCAACAGAAGCGTTTTAAGTTCAGCAAAATTTAGATTTTAGTTAAAGCTCTATTTCAGTAATTCACGCTTGAAAGGAGTGCGTGGGGCGCGTTTTAGTTCAACAACTTCCGTATGGCAAAATTATATGTGAACCTCAATTGCTGGTGCACTTGCTGAGTCACCTTATAACTACTAACTCTCTCTCTCTCTCTATTCGTTCCTCATTAGAGTTTTTCCTTCTCAACAAAGTAGTCTGCTTCTCATCTGCTCTTACGACTTCCCAAATGTCTTCTCTTTACGTATGGCAAAATCTCTTTTGTTTTCGAATTCCGAATTTCCTACCTAATGCATAATGTACTCTTTTTTGATTTTTTTTTCAAAATATCTAGGCTTACAGGGACAAATTAAGATTGAGATTTTATCTTTTGGGGGCAAAAGCAGCTAAAATTGGGCTGTCCCAACTTCAAAAGTTAGAGTTAGGAGGTTTTATCTATGACCTTTAAAGAAGCAACAACAGCAATACATTTTCAAAGAATTTTCTTTCAAATAGTTGCTGTTTCAGATTACGCAGGTAGGATAGGGATACGCTGTCCAGCGTACCACTTCGACTGCGATCTCAACAAGCGTATGCCGCTGTGTGTGCCAGTAGGGGCGTTGAGAAACTGCCGGCCTGATTGCCCAAATATGTCTGATGAATGTGAGTGGAATCGAATTTTCAAGTGTCTAGTCAAACTGGGTTAAAGATTTCCACCTTTTCTGGCCCTATGTTGAGCGCAGAAATGGATGTGAACAAAAATAGTTAGATTTTGAAAATTTTCCGTAATAGGATTGTTCCTTTGAATTTGGCTTGGACAATTTGTATCAGTTTCCCAGCGCTGGCGAATTGTAAAAATTTTCAAGCTTTTTTTCCAGTTTGATGCTTTCATGTGTACCATTCAGCATCATTTCATAATGTAATTTGAGAAACTAAGAGAAAATGTTTGCAAAAACGATCAAATCAAAAGAGTAAATATAAGCATTTTTCAGCGAATTCTCAGCGAACGAAGGTAACACTTCTGAAGGGCAGTTACGCTTTGAATATGAGGTTTCTAGGTATAAAAATGTGTATAGAAACTTACGCTGGTTCTTTCCTTTCCTTAAATTTTTGCGGGTTCAAAACATAATTTTCGATTAATAAAAGATAAGTCATCGGACCTCACCTTTTGGAAGTTTTTAATTTCTTTCCTCAGGGTGCGGAATCGGCAGAATTCTTTGCGATACGGCAGTTCGCGGTCTACCTTGCGGACGATGTGTGACCTTTGAGGAAGCTCACGCAAAGTGTCGTGACATAAAATGTAAGTCTGTCAAGAAACTTTTCATACATTATTTTCAATTTGTATGAAATCCAGGGAAAGCTCTATGTGATGTGTCTGGAACCGTGAAATGTGCTACCACAGAGAATTGCGTACTTCCCCAGTGGATTATGGATGGTAAGGATGACTGTGGGGACGGAAGCGATGAAGGTATGCCAGTTAACCAAATCTAATGCAGTTCTCTACACAAACTAATAAAATCTAGAGCCTTGCCGACTGATAGAGTGCAGCACGGAGCCTCCCGCTACTTCCACGACTAGAACAACAACCTCTACTAGCACAA